ACCCGCCGAGCTGCCTGGCGATCCTATTTCGGGATTGCTTTTTGAGAGATCCACAGAGATGCTGGGGAAAGTAAGAAATGAGACACGAGGTGAAGTCTTCAGACCATGTTTCAGGCCATGCGTGTGCCTCTGGGACCTGCTTCGGGCGTGTTTGGAGCCGGGAAGCCAGCCGTGAGCCTCTGGCTGTAGGCCGTCCCCTGTGGGGCAGCTTCCTGGGTAGGGACGGAACCAGCCTGTCTTCCTGCCGCCGAGGCGCCAGCAGGTGTGCTGACCCTGGGCCCCAGACGCCCCGGTCTGCCCGGCACTGAGCCGTGGAGGCGCAGAGCACGAGTGTCTGCTTTCCTCCTTAAACGTTTGATGGTCCTGTGGTTTGAGGTGTGGGTTTCTTCATGGGAGCAGAGCCCTTGCTCACGGGCTTCCTGAGGAAGGGGCGCTGGTGGAAAGAAGTGTGAGCTGAACTCCAAGGAGGACTCACCGCCTCAGAGCAAAAGTGCTTCGCGCTCACGCCGTCATCCTCCAGCTCCTGGGTCTGTGGAGGAACGTGTCGTACACCTAGCTTCTCAGAGTCCTGCAACAGACATGATACAAACATTTATGGCTTTGCCTCAGCTGTGACAAGGCCAAGTCAATGAAGACGTTTCCAGGTGTCACTGGCTGGGAACATGCGTCTGGCGTTAACAGCTGGTGGAGAGGTTCAGGTGATGTTTGTGGTTTGCTCACCCGTCAGGGGACCCAGGAAATTCAGGAAGGAAGTGGTGGCGCTGGGGCCATTTGTGAGCGCAGCCCGGTGTGTGGGGTCTCCAAGAAAGACTCAGAGCCCTCCAGGCAGAGTGCTGGCCCGTCACAGACGCACCGCACGCTTGCACCAGCCATACCCTCCAAGTAGAGGAAATGCCATCAGCCAGTGTAATGGTTTCATCTCAATCTTAACAGAAAATTGAGACAGCTGCAGGGCCCCAGGGGAATATCGACAGACCTCTCGGATGAAGAAATCCCATGGCAGGTGCCAGTGTCCACCCACGGCTTCTGCAGATGCCTAACTCGTGTTACCGCCAGCGTTACCGCCGGCAGTATCAATGACTTCGCCTGTGTTGACTCATACACGTATCGGTGCGCTCGGTGTGAGGGACACGATCAGGGAGGCTAAGGAAACGCTATCCTTAAAGATCCATGTTAGGAAACGATGTCACAGGCGGGGGAGGCCTCCACACACGCTCCTTGGGTGGGTTCTGGTGGAACGTGGGCACGGGCTACGCACGGCACGGGCTAGAAGAAGCCTGAATCGTTAAGCCACGGTGTCCTCCAACGCCTCCCTGTCTCCAGGCTCCTTTGCCCTCGTCATGATCAAGAAGCAGTTCTAGACCTTACCCCTTCCGTTGGCATTTATGAAAACCATCCTTATTTACTACAACTCGTCCTATACCACACAATGAGTTTTGCCGGTTCAGCTGACTTTTTGTCAGCTAGGTGTGTGTCCCTCTGTCATCTCTTAAACTTGTTCCTAAATCCCTTGCTCTCTGCCAGGCCTTCCGTGAGCACTTTATAGAAGCCATTTATCACAACAAGCCTGTGAGTCAGATATCGTTTCCCTACATTTTAGGTGACACATCTGACACTTTCAGATACTGAATCATTCACCCGACTATTGCCGGGCCAGCAGGTGGCCAGGCTGGGTCAAGCCTGGACCCTGAGCTCTGGGTCTTTGCCAGGTCGATTACTGGATGTTTCAGAGCCTCAGTTTCTCAACCTAAATGGGGAAAAGGGACTCTGTTCCGTCTACGGCACAGTGTTCCAGGAAGGAGGAGGATGATACACGTGAAACATTAGGACAGGGAGAAGCTACAGACATTCAAAGCACCGTTCTTAAACACGGGAACGGTACACAGATTCTTCAGGGCTTCAGAAAGGGAACAGGCACAGAGGGTTAATTCAGCAAGTTTCTCCTTAATAGGTGTTTTTCTCCTTCCCTCCTTGATAAAATTTACTACTGTGGATCTCATGAGAGGAAAATAACTGGGTTGTAGAGCCAGGTACAGCGGGAGACACTACCTGAATTTCCTGCTTCCTGGCGTCTGAGTGAAGTCTCACAACAAGATCTTGGAGGACACACCCAGCTCTCCATTAAAATATAAGCGCTGTAGTTGTAAAAATTCTTGCTCTGTGGTTATAACGGAGAAGACAAAGGAACAGTATTCGCGGATCCACAGAGGAGGGGGGGGAAGGGGGGGGTTATTTGCTCAGGAGCCCCGCCCTGGCTTCACCTCCACCCCGCTGTTGACCTTGAGTGAACCGGTAATCCCGCCAGGCAGCCTTGTGTGCCCCTGTGCATCACAAAGAACGCAGCAGCCACCCTCAGAACAGGAACAGTGAACCACAGAATGGTTGAGACTTGCCCAGCCGAGTGAAATGTCCACTGGACCGTCCCCGCTACATCAGCCGACCCTCCGCCGGACTCTGGCCCTTCTGGGATGGCCCCCGGTGTTTCAGAGGGAGGTTCAAGATGGTCCCACACTAAAAAAAAAAAAAAAAAAGTTCTCAAACACGTGTGCCCCTGTGCATCACAAAGATTGGGGTGGATGGACCTCTCACTGTTGTGGCCTCTCCCATTGCGGAGCACAGGCTCCGGACGCGCAGGCTCAGCGGACATGGCTCACGGGCCTAGTTGCTCCGCGGCACGTGGGATCTTCCCGGACCGGGGCACGAACCCGTGTCCCCTGCATCGGCAGGCGGACTCTCAACCACTGCGCCACCAGGGAAGCCCCACTGTTAATTTTTAAATCAACACATTGCTGCAATATGAAATATGTGATGGGAAGGTAGAACTCTGAGCTTTGGAAGCCCTTGTCCCAGGCTCAGTGGCATCTTGGAAAGAGTGCCCTGCGGGGATGAAGGTGGCTGGAGCGGTGCCCGCAGGGACGCAGGACGCTGGGAGCTGTCCTCACAGCAAGCTTAGGCTCCATCTCTGCTCAGAACAGGTTTTCCCATGAACCATCGGGGTTCAAGCTCACCGAGACTCCCAGACTGAGGACACGTTTTCTTGATTTTCCGACTAGAAAATCCAGCTGGCCCTTGTTTACTGAGCCTGGTTGCTCGCAGGGCCCTGTGGAGATGAGAGGGACCCGGCAGCCCCCCAGTCCTGGGCCTGTTCAGTGCGACCAGGGGCCACTCCGCCCTGGGTGTGAACGGCACCCTCTGAAGCTCCGGGCCCTCCTCCCTGGTTCCCTCCGTCGCGATGGCCAGCAGCCCTGCCCTGGGTGACGGGTTCTCAGACACTGGGAGCAGCCCAACTGCTGCTGTTAGCAACGCCTGAAGTGGGCTTGTGGAGAATATTTGCAGTGAGGGGGGCTCCTGGGAGACCCTCGGGAACCCTTTGGAATCAGCTAGAAGCCCTGCTCTGTGTATCCAGGCTTCCGTGTGCGGGCAGAAGGCATGGTCCCCATTCAGAGAAGGGCCCGGCTTCCGAGCGGCTCCCACCGTCTCTGGCTTTGACGTGTCTGGATGCCCCCACACACATACACTGAGAAACTGGGCCTCTTGAACTCCATCTTGGGGTGAGTGTTTGTAGCGCTTTGGAATGTCAGAGTTGACCGACTTTTCTCGTGGGTTTTATTTCAACTTCCTGCCACAGCCAATTTTCAGTCTCTCAGGAACAGATCTGTGCAGGACCCCAAAGCCATTGAGTCCAGGGGACTTCTGAATCGTTGGTCACACCTTAGCGGGGGGCTTTGGCCGCTGCCATTGTAAACACCTTCAGAACATTCCACAGCGTCTGGTCCGTGTCACCTGTGCTCAGGTAAACATGTCACGCGTGAACCCCTTCCCCGTCTCTAGATGTTTCTTACCTGTCTTGTCTCTACTGGGAAAAAGCCAATGTTAATACCTCCATAAGACGGATAGGATGGCGTCCAGTCTCCGGTGGGTGACACCTTCCAAGTTCAATCAGTTTAGGCCTCGCCAAGTTTCCCAAGCCCCAGAACTGTTTAAAACAAAAAATGAGTAAATAAGTAAAATCTCCCAGAGAAAGGAAAGAGACACAAACCACAGCAAAGCCCCCGTGCGTGTTCTCCTGACCCCACTGCCGAGCTGCTCCCAGGGCTGGGAGCAGGAAGTGGGGAGACGCGGCTGAAATGCCGGGAACCTGGACTTGGGGTAACACGCTCACCGCCGTGGAAACCCTGAGCTCCGGGGCTGCAGCCAGGCTCTCTCAGCAGAAGCGGGTGGTATGGGGGCCGCCGGAAGGCTTTCCCTGCCGTACAAGATGATGGAGCTCGGCGCGTCCCATTTTCAAGTTTGCACCTTGCGGAGGAAGGGGAGGAAGGTGGGAGAAACGGGGACTCTCGGGGGTGCCCTGCTGGCCGTGAAAGCTCCTGGAAACAGGCAGAGAGCTGTCACTGACCGCAGGAGGGTGGTTACTCCAGAAGCAAAGTCAGGGATGATTCACGTAGCAAACACACTGAGCTGTGACCGATCACGTGTCCTCAATCCCCTCTGCGCGTCTGGTTTCAACACCCGTCAAATTGTTTTGCCCGTTTTAGGCACGTTTCTGTGTCGGTGAGTCCCCAGTGGACACTGCTCCCCGCACCCTCTTCCGCTGCATTTTCTTTTGCTCTTTTCTCCTTGTAAAGCTACATTCTTGTAATCTCGAGTATTTCACCTTCTCTAGACGACAGAATTGTATGTACTGAATGATGGTCTAATAGCTTCATATCCACGATGATGTTTATTTTCTCTGTGTTACCAAATACGTGTTATTTAAAGGCAAACACTACATGAGCTACTGCCCAGGAGCACCCAGCCTTGGCGTTGGAACTTGACACAAGAAAAACACGAGGTTCCCTGCACACCCTGACGCCCCACTTCGTGGGCTGAAGGACCCTCGGTGGGGGAGGGAGGGAGGGAGGAGGTACGGTGACGGCCTTCAGCGGGACCTGGGGGCAGGGGGCAGCGGTGGCCCTGGATGACGCCCTGCACGGGTTAACGCTCTGCTTTGGGGCTTGCAGACGACCACTCCCGGATCCGGCTGAAATCAGAGAACAGCCACGGCAGCTCTGACTACATCAACGCCAGCCCCATCGTGAGTACTGCCCGCCACGCACCAAGGCTCCCGGGGGGCGGGGCGGGAGCGGGCCGGCCGGGCACTGATTCCGTAGCAGATAGCCGGTCTGTGTCCACCGGGTAACCGGCCTCCACCAGGGACCAGGGCTGGCGCTCTGCCCCCTGCCCACTCCTGATGGCTTGGTCCCCAGGCGGGGCTGAGTCCCAGCAAAGGGAACGTGGTGCCGGGGTGCTGAGCCCGGTCACGCCAGGGGCCCAGCAACAGCGCCCTGACGAGTTACTGCTGGAACCCGAGGCTTTGGGGAAATTCGCAGCTGGTTGTGTAAAGGGCTCCTAGGCCCCCTTGTTCCCTGTTCGGGGGAAACAGGAAAACCCAGACCCAACCCTGGCACGTGTTGAAGTGATGGATGACGTAGAAGTAGGTCGGAAACTGCTGGCTGGTCTCCTCCGGTCTTTGCAGCGGGCGGGGTCTTCCCTTCGAGGGAGGGGGTGCGGCAGCGCCTCTCTGGCAGCGGGTGTGATGGAGGACGGGGGCAGGTGAGACCTTCTGGCCGGCAGGTGTTCCCAGCCTCCGGAGAGCCCCTCACGGCCACAGCCTGCCGCTCCCTCGCGGCTTCCCGCCCTGCACCCGGGGAGAGGCCGCAGGGGAAAGTCGGGGGCCGCCCAAGGGGAAGGAAGAGGGGCTGGCAGGGGGTGAGTGTAGGTCAGCAGCTGGTGGGAGGAACCTGCCAGGGGTTCTCAGGGCACGTGGTGGGCGCACCTGGGCCCAAAGCAGAGAGGCAGGAGCAGGTGGGGCTGTGTCCCCCTTAAACCGTGGTTCTTGACGCTGGTCTCCGGGGAGCGTCAGGGCAGCTCAGTAAGCTCTCACATTGGCTTCAGGCAAATACGGGCGTGTAGGACGCAGCACGTCCTGGGGGCTCCGGCGCTCTGAGGTTATGGGGGAGGGGGAGGTGGTTATGGGGTCATCTCTGGATTCGTGAGAGCGCCCTGGGTGAACGACAGCCCCTGCCGTCCTCGGTGGTGACCTTGGATGAGACAGTTCGCCGTCTGATCGCAAGCAGAACCGCTGATAGACGGCTGTCATCATGGTGGTTCCATTTTTCAGTGCATCTGCTGTATAAACCTTATTGTCATGACTCCAGCGTGCCGTGGGTCGGCCCCACTTCCTGACACCGCACAACCACACAGCGAGGGCACCGTGTAACACGCTTGCGGTGCGAAAGGGTTTCGGGGGGCAGCATCTTGTCTGCACCCGTCTGAGCTCAGGCCTTTGTTTCTGGGGTTATTTTTAAGGACGCACTCCTTTCCCTCCAGCAGAGTAGACCTCGAACGTTGGCTCCGTCTGTGTTCAGAGGCCTAACTGGAGCCGTTCAATCAGTCTTTCTAAATAAACACACTTGTTGAGTTTGGTATTTTTCCGTCAATTCTAAATTCAGAAAACCAAGGCAAAGCCCCATTGGGACCCTGGGCCTGGTCCCTACACAGGGGTCGTGGTGATGGTCTGTAGAAGGGAAAGAGCTGCCTTCTCCTGCTGGGCTCCTTCCCTGGGATGAACCCCGTGACAGGGCCAGAATGAGCAATAAAGCAATCCTTTTCACGTCTCAGAGACGGGGGTTCAGTGTTGGGGGGTGCCCGACCCTCCCCCATTTTATGGGTTCCGGCTTCCAGACGTTGGAGCTATGAGGACAGGGTGCTGGTGAGAAACTGCATCTCTCCCGGAAGCCGCCCACCAGCAGCCCCCACTCCTGTGCCTTCCCCGTCTCTCTCTTGTTGGTGGAAATTAGAACAGCCTTTCAGGCTTGACGGGGCAGGGACCTGGGTCAGAAGGTGAGGCCAGGAGAGGCAAGTGATCTTTCGGTGTCTTTTATGTGCTCCTTTTATTTCATGCCACCGTTCTTTTTTGTGCACATTTGGGTTGGAAGCATGAGCTAGAAGACATCCTCAGTACCTCTTCCTGAAATGACTGAAGGTCTGATGTTAGTGAGTTTCCTAGCAGAATTGAGTGAGGAGCTTACAACGAGAGCCCGAGAAGCCCGTGACCCTGCAGAATAAAACTACGATAACTACGTCCGTCTGTCATATCTGTACTTAGTCGTCCTTAAATTTCAGGAAAGCCATCCAGTAGTGAATAATGTGCTACCTCTGCTCTGAAGTGAGACGTCATGAAAGTAAACAGGGGCTCCGCTTCCCCGCGTGGGGCGTCTGCGGGAGAACTCCGTCAGCCGCACCGGAGCTTGGTCACTGCCAGGCGTGGACTGAGGGGTGGCGGGCGTCAACACAGCAGCACACGAGTCCCCTTACCGGGGGCAAGTCTGAACGTCCCAACAGCACTTGAAAGTAAACTTACTCTTCATTTCTCTGTTTATGAAGGGGAGAGATGGTTTCATTTTTAAACCCAGAATGCGTTTAACAAATTTAAGTAGATACAAACTGACTCTTGAGAAAAGGATGGCTGCTCAGATGCCCTGAACGTCCTAAGAAATTGGCCAAAATGGGGGCCGGTTCCTTGGTTTCCGGATTTACAAGTAAACATCTGTATGTGTATAATTCTGGTTTATAGCCAATACTTTTCTTAAGTAAATCTCGACTCATAAGAATATGAAAAAAAGCCAGACTCTCTCCCACTGATTTTACTAATGCTACCATTTCCCAGCAAACTCTCACATTAAGACTTGGTGTCTGGGAAAGTGACTTGAAAACTCAGGCTTGATGTTCTCTTGTTTTTAAGAAAGTATCTGTGGAATTTGCTTTACATGTTAGGAAAAGCAGGTGTAAGGTGGGCAGATGGGAATACAGGAAGATAACCTGCGTGTTCACCTTGAGTGAGATTGCAGGGTAGGAGACGTGACCCCCGTGGGCCCCCTACCAGAGGCTGGCCCAGACCTCCCCTGAGACTTTGGGCCACCAGGTGGTCCGGGGGCAGTACCGGCCCTGCCCTCACCTGCGCACCAGCCGGCAGCCCCCCCGCCTGTCGCCCTTCAAGGCTTCAGAACACAGGCGCCCTGGTCTTAACGTGCTGAAGGCTTAGTTTTTAGGGTGAGTTTTGTTTGGAACTTTGGGGAAATATTGCTACATTTTTTAATGCAGATTAGAACTAGTTACTCATGGTCATTTATAACTGTCATTCCACAGCTTGAACCAAATCGCTAGGTTTTTTTTTTAACCGTGCATTTAGAAATTCATAGGGATATACCTTGCCTAGTTCATGTGGTATCTTCATATAAGACTCAGTCAGCCACATGAACAGTAGACTGAACACAAACTTTGGGGGTCTACTTTTTCTGAAAAAAATCCCAGAATCCCAGAGCTAAAGGGCCCGTAGAGACCAAGTTCCACCTCCCCGCCCCCGCCCCACCCATTTTACAGACACTAAGACTGAGGCCAGAGACCCTGACTTCATTCACAGTGCTGGACCTTGTGTTTATAATCACAACAGTCCTACAGATAAAAAGTACACTACAGAGAAATGGGAAACAACAAGGAAGAACGGGGGAAGATTCAGCTCAGATGTCAGCAGAAGCCAATGCTCATCCCCACCAGGAGCTGGAGGTGGAGGCATCATCACCCACCACGCTGGGCTGGCAGCCAGAGCTCCCGATGGAGAAGTCGTGTCCGTAGAAACGGACGCAATTTCCTCTAGTTATGCTTATCCCACCTTGGAGATCCTAAGTGTAGTAAGACTTCAGTGCCTTTAGTTCAATTTTTGGTTTACTTTCATTCATTCAAAGTTGCACAGAACTGGGCTGAGGCTCCCGTGGCCTTATCTTTGCTACACGCACAGAGTACTTCTGCCCAGAATTACTTTCTGTCCAACAGGATGTGCACGGGATGAGGCGATGGTGGTGTGGTCATCTCAGTCACTGTTCAACTGGTGGCACGTCACCGCTCTGTGATCACTTACTGCCTTCCAAGAGGCAGCCACGTGACACAGCCAAGGGGGAGGGGAGTGATGGGCCATTGACGCCCCCCTCCCCCTCCCCCCAGCCCCGTGTCCTCCGGTCCCGGTCGCGGATTGAGCAGTGGATGGGGAGATGGGAACACCATGACATCAGGACCTCCCGCAACAGGGGGCCTTATCTACCCTCCGGAAACCCTGTTCCGATGTTTACTTTCAATCGCATATTTCTCATTGTGAAAGCCACTAGATGTGCTAGGCTGAACGTACCCACGATGTTAAACTGTGTTGCTCTCTGAATTGTTTGGGCAGAAAAGCACACTTGAGAAGGAGGCGGGGCTTTACTTTTCATGCAGAACTATTTGCAGGGAAGAGATGGGGTCTCCATAAATAGCTGTCACCCCCAACGAATGCATATTTTGAACATAAAACTCCTTATTTCTGCCAAGCGTTTTTCTACTGAAACATTTTAATTGGGGCTTTCAGCTGCAGAGTAACGTAATTTTACCTGTATTGTGTGTGTCGTGCATTTCCGGTTTCGGTTATGAATCTCACTACATTAGATGCACGACAAGCTTTTTCTCCTGCCCCTCCCCCCCCAGCTAGCGTCAGATGTTCTGTTACGGTAACTTACACCTGTTCTTTTGTGCCCTTTCCCCCTTTCATGGAGCACATAATTATAAGGTGCGCTGGGGCATCCTTTCACGCTGACACCCCTCGGCCCCAAAAGTGTTGACGGGCGGGCGCTGCGGGAGGGTTCACGGGATTCGTGTTAAGGCGGACGCGCCTCACGCAGGCTCTTCTCACACCCAAACTCGGAGGGGGCTTTCAGGTGACCCGGGGCTTACAGCTGACGTCCTCACATGTCACCGTAGAATCATGTGTGGTCGCACCCTCTGTGTTTTTCACTGTATTGGGAGATGTATTCTTAACAAGTACCTTCAAGTGCGGAGCATTTTAAATCTTTCATCAAACGCTGGTGTCAGCAGCGTAGAAGCTGGTGCTGGATGGGTAAGAATGAAGGATGCTGTGCAGTCTGATAAGTGAGCAACCGCCTGCCCCCAAGGGGAGACCCGCCCACTCCCTTCTGGGGGAGGCCTCTGCGGGCCTCCCGGCGGGGACAGCAAGGGCGTCTTGGCTATAACACCTCGCCCGGTCCCTTCCTGTCTTCTTAGGACGCCAGCGTGAGGGGAAAGAGCCCCGTCCGTCTGATTCAATCCTGTTTGCTTCTCCAGCCTTCGTTCTCATGTTCCTTTTTTTCTGCTTAGTCTTTGAATTAGATGTTATAATGAAGGTCTTTTACGCCAAACTCCCTCTCTCAAAGCCAGCAGGCTGCATTCGGACAGATCACCTAGCCAGGTAACCCACCACGGCCTTCTCCTTTGTTTGTTTTCGGTCCTTGTCTGGCGAGGTGGAAAGAGAACAGGGAGTCAGCTGCTGGCAGGCTAGGCAGCGTGGGCCGCGCTGGCTCTCAGGCCCCAGGAGGACTCTGGGCCCGAGCCCCTTTCGGGGTAGAGAGAACCAAGCCCGCACGAGAGGGGAGGAACTCATCCTGGGGGGCGTTGTTGCTAGATCCCTCCAGGCCCCCGGCAGTGCCCCGCCCTCCGCCCAGCACAGTGCCCTCAGCGCTAACCTCGGCCGCGTTACCTCGAACCCTGCGCGTGGCCAGTGGTGGCCGTGAAGCCTGCGCACACCGGCCGAACTCCTCTGCGATCACACGCGTCCGTGGATGGGTCACCGTGTTGGTGGCCGGGGTGCCGCCCCGGGCGCCCTCGCTTCGTCCCCAGCACCCTGCCTCGCGCGGCCTGTGCGTGGGTTAACGCTCTGGTATCTGGTCTCTGGGTGACTGGCCTCCTTTCCTACCAACGCTGCTCAGTTACCTCCATCCCGGGGAAAGGAAAACATTCAGCCCCAGTCGCCAGGCTCCAGGCGCCGCGGAGCCCCAGGCCCCGCCTCAAGCGCAGGCGGGGTGGGGTCAGTAGGGGCCGTGGGGAGGAGCGGCGGCGTGTCCCACTCCGCACACGTGTGGGTCGAGGGCTGGCACTGTCAGCACAGGACACGCCGCGCCCCTCCCCTCAGCCGGCCCTTCACTCCCTGGCTCTTCAGCTCATCTTTCTTCTGCGGTCTTGTCTCCGCAGATGGACCACGACCCCAGGAAGCCCGCGTACATCGCCACCCAAGGACCGCTGCCCGCAACCGTGGCCGACTTCTGGCAGGTGAATCTTTTTAAATGAAATTTTGTTCTGAAAATAAGATCTTAACACATTGATCATGAATAACGCCTTGGAGTCAATTAAGCCAATTGAGATTTGTTTCCAGGTGTTCATCAGATGTTCCTTGATTTCAGAATTTATATGAGCCCTTTCATATTTTTTATTATCCATCTTTTTTCCAAAACGTGAGTGTGAAAAATTCCTTTTGAGAGATTTAATACTTTAAAGACTCTTACCTTTTTAGCCACTTTACTTTAGCCACTTTATTTTATGAACTATAATGGAATGAAATAATAAATGTTTAAATTATTGTATTTTATTCAAATGCATCTCTCGTCTATAGTTTTAATTTTATGACGGTAAAAGATGGCGCTCAGATTACAGTCTCTCTCTTTGTGGCTACTCTGTAATGATGCATCTTACAGGCCAGGTTGGTCTCTTTCTTTTCATTCAGCAAAATCCTAAACACTCAGACCAGGCTCAGACATTGAGAACTCGTGTCAACACTGGCCAATAAAAGGAAAACCAGGAGGCCAGTGGGCTTCCCTCTCCCAGTCCCCCTCTTTTTCCCCATTGTCCACAGCATGGCAGAGCTCCGTAGGAACAGCTCTTGGAAGGTGGCACCGTGGGGTGTGCGCGTGAGGTCACGTCATTGCTCGGCGGCTGTTAACAACCCCCTCCTGTGTGTCGGGCACATCGGGTGTCCCCGGAACCGGTACAAAGGGCCCCCTGAGGACAAGATGAGGAAGATGTGCCTTCTGGGCCCCGGGGCACAGGTGATGATGGGGCCGGAGCAGCATGTGGTCCACAGAGCTGGGCTGTCTGGGTCCCGTGGCCATGCCGTCTCTAACCCGGTCGTTCATCCCGACAGAGGGACTAGCTGAAGTTAGCAAATTCCGTGTTCCCTGTTCCCTGTGGTCTGACAGTCGCTTTCTCAACTTTCCAGTCAACCCTCTCCTGACTCTCCACCCCAAGGAGGGACAGTGTTCCTCTCCACCCTGGAGAACGACTCTGCAGGCTTCTCCGGAGAGTCAGGAAGGGATCCAGGATTTGCTGAGTGTCCCAGGGCTCATTGCCTTGTAAGCGTATTGATGCACAGGTGTCAACATCCCCAGTTCCCAGGCATCAATGCACAGGTGTCAACATCCCCAGTTCCCAGGCAAGACAAGCGAGCATCTGGGAGATTGCATAGCTCACCCAGTGAGTAGGAAACCAGGACTGGACACGTCTCCGTGGCCCTGCTCTTTCATGGTGGCTTCACGCTATTAGAAAAAAAAGACCGAGCTGAACCCTGTGGTCACGGCCTAGAGCCATCAGGCTGTGGCGTGAGGACAGTCTGAGGACAAGCTGGTCCCTCCACCCTTGAGGGCTGAGTCTCCTCCCCGTTCCACCTAACCTGCCGAGGGGTCACGCAGCCCAGGCGGAGCTGCTCCAGGAAGGGAGCTTGGGGCCCGGGCCCGAGGTCTTCCTCACGCCATGCGGAGCTGTGTTCCCGAGCCGTGAGCCCGCTGGTCCTGGTTCTGCCCGCAGAGCGTCGCTGGAATTCCGTGGAGGCCCAGGGTCTGCTCAGCCCCCTTCCCGGCCAACCCCAGGCTCCCCGTGCTCAGACAAGCAGAATAAAGAAGATCCCGAGTCGTGCGGCAGAATAAGGGACCCACAGAATCGCACTATCACCGCAGCTTCGACTGTGCTTTGACCCACCGTCCCAACGTGCACAGTTACGAGGGGCGTGTAGAGCCCCCAAAGAGGGGAACTTCCATTTTTATCGGTTTCAGGTCCCGGCTGTAACTTCACGCGTGAAAGCGTCTCTTGCCAACAGCATCACAAGTGTCTGAGGGCGTAGAGATGCTCGGCGTACTCATTGCTCACATCCGTGGACCACTTACCGTGGACCAGGCCCTGTGTCGAGGGTTTTACACGTTCTGTCCTATAATCTTGGCAGTCGTGAGACTAGAGGCTCATACTCTGCCCCAGCGCCCGTGGCTGGTACACAGGAACACTGGTATGTTTTTCTTTCTGCTTATTCCGAGTAGTTGCCATTGTTGGGGACAATTCATTTTGTCAGTATTTATAATCAGTATTTGTCAGTATTTATACTGACAAGTATTTGTCAGTGTTTATACTAACAGGATTCTAGAGCACTTATGGAGGTCTGATATCAAGGAGCATACGTTCTCGAAATGGAAAGAAGATATCCCTAAATGACACAGCTGGAGAAAAGCGTTAAGGTGAGATGAAGTGCAGGATACTTTGAGACACAGTCAGCATTTATCAAACTGTCCGGGAAGCAATGGCATCCCTCAAGGTGGGAGCAGATACTCTGCGGCCAACAGGCTGGCCCTCCCGGGATGTCTGGGGCTCGTCAGCCCGTCACAGCCTGGGAGCCGTCCTGCAGCAGAAAGACCTGCGTCACTTTGTCTCCTCCACAGCCCTTGGGAGGGACGCCATGGTCGCCACACCCGGCCTCCGGGCGTCCGGATGCAGGCAGAACGCAGGGAAGACGTGTTGGCCTTGGGACGGAGGGGCTTCATCGCTTGTGATTGGCTTCCCAGCACAGTCACGTTGGTTGGGTTGGCCTCTGAATCATATTCTAGAAGTGGGCATCTAGCAAGCATGGCACTTTATTAATAACTGGACGAGGTCACAGGCTCGACATCCTCAAACATTCCAAGTCCAGCTGCCCCCTCCACCTCGGGCCCGGCAGAAAGCGCGAGGAGGAAACTGCACCAGCCTTGAAAACTCCTTGCAGAACTTCTCAGAAGCCACAGTGAGGTGAAGCTCTTTTGAGAAAAGAACCTGATTTGAAACGTAAGAAGCTTCCTGTGTCCAAGACAATAGGCTGAACGGAAACCCCTGAGCAAGGGTTCATGTCTCATCACGTCTGGATTCATGGCCTTTGATAAGTTTTGACCCAGGAGCTCAGCACCTGTTACAGAAAATATCGAAGCGTCTTCCTCTTATTGGAGCTCGTGGGTGCTGCTCTGAAGCCCCTCCCAGGGACGAGCTCACGGGGGCTTATTCTGTGTCTGTGATGAGCAAATTCCCATAGGAAAGGCGCCTGTGAGGCGGGTTCACGTGAACGGCGGTGTCCCCTTTCCCACGGCACAAAGGAGCCCAGGCTGGGAGCTGAAGACAGCAGGTTGTTCTTTCTCCTGTTTCCAAATACGGCCACGTTCACAGGTTCGTGGATGTGACTTTGGGGGACATTATTCTACCCAATACGATGGCAAAGAAGAAAACAGACACTAAGCCCCGAACGTAGCAGCATCGCAACAGGACGGGTGGCCGCAGCAGGAGGCTGCAGGGCGGGCAGGTGGGCGGAGGAGGGCCAGGGATACGCAGCGACGCCCGAGGTCATCGGCAGCCTCGGGACAGAGGGGCAACATGCAGAGGAGGGATCGGGGAGACTCCGTCTGAACGCAGACACGGCACTTCTGGAGCATTCCATCATAGGTGTGACTCAGCGGCAGCCCTTCCGCCCTGACTGCGGTCACCGCGAGGCAGGGGGCTCCTGCGCCAGGCGGGACCCTCACTCCTGACTCCCCACCCGAAGGGCTCTGCCGGGACACACAGCACCGTTCGCCGTCCCGCGATTAGAATTCTTTCTCTGAATTCACATGACATGTTCTAAGAATTTGATTCCAAACCAAATGCATGCCCGACCCACGACCTTCCTGTAGAAACATGTTCTGACCTGTGAACACAGCCCCACGTGTCCCCGGGACCTGAGGCGGCAGCTGTGGGAGAAGGCAGACCGACGTCCGGGTCCAAGTTCACGTGAGGAAAGAAGCAGGAGAGAGGGAGACAACAGCTATTGGGCGCTTACCATGTGCTGGGCCCGGGGCGGGCGCTTACCGTGTGCTGGGCCCGGGGCAGATGCTCGGGGTGCGTGACCTCACCCGACGCCCCCGACAACCTGGGGTAAGGCTGTCGCGAGTGTGTGATCCCCCCCAGACGGGGTCCCGCAGAGACAGGGGGCTGGTGGGGGGCTGGGGAGGGGTTGGGGAGTTGGTGTTTGGTGGGGCAGAGGCTCAGTTTGGGGAGGTGAGAAAGTTCTGGGGACAGTGGTGGTGATGGTAGCACAAGGTGAACGTGCTGAAAGCCCTCGAACCGTACACTTAAAACTAGTTAAGAAGGTATTTCTGTGTTATGTATGTTTCACTAGAATAAACGAAAATCAGGACCCCAATTCCAGCAGAAAAGCCGAGGCCCAGGGATTCCAAGCGACCCCCGTAAATGCACGCGGCAGCTGCAGGCGGGTTTCAAATGGGATCTGTATGGTCCGAAATGCTTCTTACTGCCCCACTGGCCTTAAAGCGAGGAGGGGGCGGTGACTGGGCAGGTGTGTCTCCGTGAAGAGGAGAGAAAGGCCATCGCGCTGTGGGGACTGTCGGCTCTCGCGGGCCAGCCCCCTGCTGTGACGGAGGGGACATGGTGCCTCCCCTCCAGGCACAGAGGGTGTGAGCTACATCTCCCAGGTGTGCGTGTGCATGTGCGTGCGTGTGTCCAAGGCTAGAACTGGGGGGAGGCTTCTCCAGGAGCCGAGGTTTCCCTGCAAGGAGGGGAGGCCTGCACACCCGCCAGGAGCCAGGCCCGCTGGGCTCACACACGAGCTCCAGGTGCCTCGAGAGCTTGGGGACAGCCTTCCCGGAGAACAGCGGCCTCTGGGCTGTGAGCAGGGTGGGAGGACGAGCCCCGGGCGCAGGCTGCCCGGCCCTGGGCTGTCCAGGCGGGCATCACCCATTGGTCCTGGAGCTGCTCCGGCCCCCGGCCCTACCGTCCCACCCCCGCGTTCCAAGGAGCCCCATCCACGTGGGCCGTGGGCTGTCTGCCGTCTCTCCTTCTGTATTTTCGGACAAAGCAGAAATTTAGGCAGCGCGGTGGCTGGTTCAGGTGCGTGAGGACTCCCTGCGGATGTGGACCCTACGGTCGGCGTGCGAGGTCCCCAGCCAGCCAGCGGTGGCTGAGCTCAGGGCCGGGGCCCTTCCAGGGCAGGGGCTGGT